GCAGTTGAGACGCGGGCTCAGGACCTGGAGGACCTGGAATCTCCTGGGAGGGAGATGGACCTTGGGAGGTTGGTCAAGGAGCTTGAGGAGGCGTGGATCTAAGGGGACGGAGACAAGGAGGGAGCCATCTAGGGTCAGTGAGTGTGGACCGGCATGGGGGGCACTTCTCAGATGGAACCAGGCCAACCTCGGCTTCACCTTCTTCCTCCTCCCCTGGCCCAGCAGTGGGGCGTGGCTCCCAGGCCGCCCTGCAGTAGTGGGTGGCCCTGGCCCAGTCCCTACCAAGCCTGCACTCGTGGGAACCAGGAGTGGGCTTCAGGAAAGCCCTTTGTATTGTGTCCCTCGAGGAGGCTTTGTGCAGCCCGGTCTTTTCAGCGACTTCCCTCCCGTGACGGCGGGATGTAGCACACGGACCGGAGGGAAGTGGGGCTGGGAGGCTCTGAGGGAAGGTGCTGGCAGAGAGACCACGGCGCATCCCAGCCCGGGCTGCCGAAACCATCCCCTGGGCGTCGGAAGAGGGGCAGCTAGGAAGCCCCGTAGAACGGAGAAGGTTGATCATTACGGACTTGTCCTTAGGAGGACTAGGCCCCAGGAAGGATATCACGCTTGGGAGAGGACCAGGGAAAAGAAGGCCCCAGGGAGCTAAGTGGACACAGCGGTCCAACACGGCAAGGGGTGTGAGGAGCATGGACGCCCGAGACCACCGGGTGCCCCTGGGCTCTCCTCCGTGGCCAGGGACCCCTGCAGTGGGGCTTCCGTGTCATGGCTGGGAACTGAGTGGGTCCGCTCTCAAGAGTCCTACCTGTTTTTGAAAGAAACCCCCAGCAGAGAGGGACCCCATAACCCTTTTCAAGGTGTGGGTGCGTGTGTGCGTGTGTGAGGTGGGCAGGGTCTGAAATCCAGGTGCAGGGTCCTCCCTCCTGTGGGAACGGGACGCCTGCCCCTCGCCTCGGAGCAACACGCATCCTGGCCTGAGGGTGCTGGGGAGAATGTCCGGGAACCCCTAGGCAGGGAGCGGGCGGGGCTGTGCTGTGCGTTAGGTGCAGTGAGCAGGGTGGGCACTAGCTGCCTGCAGACTAGTCACAGTTCAGGGCACCTGGGTCCCCCCCTGGAAGGGCAGGATTTCCTGCAGGAGCGTGAGTTGGGTTACAGGAATGGAACCGCCTCCACAGGGAGAGGCGTGTGTGTGTGTGTGTGTGTGTGTGTG